ATGATCTCACCCAGCGGCTTCATGTAGATATTAAACAGCATGGGGGACAGTATAGAGCCCTGAGGAACCCCATGGACGATGGGACTTGCAATACCTGCACTCCCTTCCTGAGATCATTACAACCGCCAACAATGATGGATCAGGATCACAATTCACACAGAGAGCCTGCATGACCCACATCCTGGTGCGGTTTGGAAAAATTTGGAGATGGATGATGGGACTTGCAGTAACTTCGCTCACTTCCTGAGACCACTGAGACCTTCGCCAATGACTGATCAAGACCATACTTGGCACACAGAGCCCCCATGACCCACTCTACATCCTGGTGCACTTTTGAGGGGTTGGAAAGAAAAAAAGAAATGGGACACTTGAAAAATGGTATGAATATGTGTGGGACCAAAAAAAGGTAAAGGTAGTCCCCTGACATTAAGTCCAGTCATGTCTGACTCTGGGGTGTGGTGCTCATCTCCATTTCTAAGCCGAAAAGCCAGCGTTGTCCGTAGACACCTCCAAGGTCATGTGGCTGGCATGACTGCATGGAGCGCCGTTACCTTCCCGCCGGAGCGGTACCTATTGATCTACTCACATTTGCATGTTTTCGAACTGCTAGGCTGGCAGAAGGACCAAATATAACTGGATATTATGGGCATCATAAGAAGCAAAAAGACATGGTCAGACAAACAGAAGAAAATTAAAGAAATTTGGGCTCCATTTAAAATATGGGTACAGGTCATTAAAGCAGATGATGAAAGCTGTAAGAAAAAATTGGATAGAATCGAAAGAAGGCTCATGTAACGGGAAAAAAAGGATTACACTGTCAACAGGGAAGAAGGAGGGGTGGGAGTGGGGAGGGAGAAGGGAATGAAAAAGGACAAAATGCATGGTAATTATGGTTATGTTTTGTAACAATAATAAAAATATTTTTAAAAGCCTTCTTTGACGTTTGGTCCTGATGGAGCAATTGTTCAGAAACAAATCAAAGTGACGGTCCACACAAGAATGCCGTGGCATATTTCCTGGTTATTTTATAGTGCTGACAGTATAGGTCTTTACCCTCGAATTAATGAACAAGGCTTCATTGTTTCATGATGAGATGCAGGAAGCGAAGATCGAAAGAAACCTCTTTTATGACCCAAGTTTTTGGTAAATGGTAGAAACTATAAAACCAACGTTAAATTTCTTTCTTTATGGCTCAGAGAATGCACTTTAATACTTAACCGAACTTTAATAAGTTTAGTTAAATATTTTTCTGTTTGCACTCGTCTCCTATAAATGACAAAGGCAGAAATTAAGATGGAAATGTGATCAAGAGGGTTGCCGTTCCCTTTTGGCTCCTAGTCACTTCCACATGAATACAATCCCATCAAACAATATAGGCTTGTTAAGATGCTTTGGATGGCCCTGCTGAGTGATATCTTGGGAGGCATCTTAGCAGGAAATGTTTGATTTATGTGGGTCTCCTGGTGTTTCCGTGCTCTGGCACCACGAGATGCAGAGCCAATCTTAAGAAATGGGGCTACGAAGTGGAGTCCACAACATGCGAGTGTGCAGAAGAGCAAACCACAGACCACCTACTACTATGCAACCTGACCCCTGTCACATGCACAATGGAGGAGGACCTTCTTATAGCAACACCAAAGGCACTCCAAGCGGTCAGCTACTGGTCAAATGCCAAGTTTGCAAACTTTGTTTTTTAAATACAATACAACTGTTTGGTTTGCTCCTAAATACATACACATGTTGCGCTGTCCTCCTCCACGTGACTTTACATGTTGCATTGTGATGGTGCGAATGTTGGACTGTCCTCGTCCACGTGACTTTACATGTTGCATTGTGATGGCGCGAGTGGCGCCACCTATATGTATAACTGTTAGTTGCAAGATTTAAATTGTATCATGCTTAATCCTGACTTTTTACCCTGCCGATGTATAGTTGGATTGATTGGTTATTTATAGCTATCAATCAATGTTGTTTCCACCAGCTGAATTGCTTTCTCAGCTCAATTGTTTGGCTCCACCTCTTCCTGGAGGAGGGGAGTGCTTCCCTTTTTCATTCCACCATCAGATTTTCTACCAGATGGATGTGAGTAAGAGACTTGGCTCTAAAAGCCCCTGATTAAGTTACCTCTCAGCACCAATTCTTATTATTATTATTATTATTATTATTATTATTATTATTATACTTTATTTGTACCCCGCTAGCATTTCCCGAAGGACTCGATGCGGCTTACAAAGGCCAAGGCCTCAATACACAACACAACAATACACTCAAAGCAAATTAAAAACAATTAAAGCAGTATTAAAACAACAAAACCACAAGCAATAAACAATACATCAACAAGATAAAACTGGGCCAGGCCAGAGTAAAGGGTACAGGATTAAAAAGTGCTGATGTGACAGGTGATATTATAGGGCAAGTGCAGTGTGCAGAGTGCGGCAGTCTTAAATTCTAATAAAGTGCTTCTGGGACTTGGTATTGGAGATTTCCTAATCGGGGAAGGCACATCGGAACAGCCAGGTCTTCAAATTCTTTCTGAAGACTGCCAATGTAGGGACCTGTCTAAGATCTTTGGGGAGAGTGTTCCAGAGACGGGGGGCCACCACGGAAAAGGCCCTGTCTCGTGTCCCCACCAAACGTGCTTGCGACGCAGGCGGGACCACGAGCAGGGCCTCTCCAGATGAGCGTAATGAACGCGTGGGTTCGTAGATGGAGATGCGGTCACGCAGGTAGGCTGGTCCCAAACCGTTCAGGGCTTTGTAGGT